TTGCTCTTTTTCCTGCCTGATTCTAAACTTCTCTTCTATAGAAGTTGTACATTGTAAGATTGGTAAGACAGTAAGATGAATGCAAAATGGTAAGATGAAAATAGTGGTCAACTCACGAACCAACAGACGTGAGGACATTGGCAGGCGCCCTAGTGCATGTAGCTAACCTTAGAGTGGGGGGGCTCAGTGTGAAGCCATGCCCAGAACAGGAGGAATACTCTTAGGAAGCCCATTGCCTAGATGTCAAGCTAAGCTATAGCCTTTTCCCCTAAAGTTCCTTTTCCTGGGAGAATGAGATGCTCAAGCACAGTTCTTCCCTTTAATGAAGCTATGAAAGTTAAACAAGAATGGTGGGAATAACTTCTAGTGTTGCGGTTCCTGTCCTAATTTTCTAGCATCACTTAAAACAAGACAAAACTGTACTCAGCACAAACCACCGTCACCTCTTGACAACAGAAGACACTGTGTCTTTTTCTGTCTCAGCAGAAAAAAAATAATTTTCATTCCAGAGATTTAGACCTAGATACACAAATCCACAACTGTCTACATCCTGGGAATACTAGGGAAAACTTTGTACACAACCATCATTGCACCATTCCACCCCAACTCTCTTTACCACTCAGAATACCTTTAAACAAAACCAAAGACTCATACCATCCCCACTAGTCTTATCCCTAGAACACAATTCCTAGAAAACCTAGCTTGTACAGTTTGCACTGAGCATGCTCTCTTCAAAGACCCTGCACACATATACACACAGACACCAAAAAACACAAAGAGAAGGCTCTGTTCAATGGCACAGTTTTTCTTCAGTGTGGGCCTGGATTACTTGGGGTGTAAGGTCCATCCTTTAACTTTATAACCTGATCTCTCAGCCGTGTGTGTGTGTGTGTGTGTGTGTGTGTGTGTGTGTGTGTGTGTGTGTAGAATGAGGGGTATAGGAATAGGGAGTGAAATGTCACTTTTATTTTTCAGAGGTAGGGGTGAGAGGCACGTAATGATGGGGGAAGGATGGCAAACCCACTCAACAATGTCTGGTCCCCTTGCTTTCACAGATAAAAATGGGGACTCTGAGTGCCAGATCACTGTCCCTTTCTTGTCCCCTCATTGCCTTTTAAGCCAGTGCACATACAAGTATGTTTCCCAGAGTCACTAGTTCTGTTGGGATATGAAATAGATACTGAAGCCAAATCGATTTAGGAAACATGGCATTAATACACACTAAGCAACTGACTACAGCAGTTCTCAGAGCCCTTGATATATGGACATGGCCCCTTACACTTTCCCTCTCTGGAGAGAGGGAAACATTTACACAAAGGTGATGTGTAAATGTTTTGGAGCTGATAGGACATAGATTCCAACCACTGAGAACGGACCTCACCCATCACTCCTGGTTCCACTGTACCTTTGACAGTGGGTTCAAGTTGAGTCATCACACACATACTTTGCACTGTTTCCCAAAATTTTGCCCAAACAACTCCATTTTCATATGAACCAGTGAGAAATGCTCCAGTCATCAGGGTACAGGAGAGGGCGACTCTGGCAGTGGCTGCTGGTAGCACCGGCTGAGAGATTTGACCATAGCTCCAGAAGAGACAGATTTCAAAAGACAGATGTCCCTCTGTCCCAGCTGCTCCCAGGACTCTGTCCCTGGTGGGTCAGCAGGTGCCTGTCCAGGTGGTGTTTACGGCCAAAGCTCTTCTCACAGCGAGGGCAATGGAAGGGCTTCTCCCCAGTATGGGTCAGCCAGTGTCTCACGAGGTGGTGCCTTCGGCCAAAGCTCTTCCCACACTCTGTGCACACGTGGCTCTTTGGCACTGGTAGGGCATGTTGCTGTTTCTGAGCCCCAGGACTCTCTCCGATGTCTTGGCCCTTATAGGACTTGCTTTCCGAGTGCACTCTCTGGTGGCTGGCCAGATGGGAGTTGCATCGGAAATTCTTGCCACACTCAGAACACCTGCTTGGCTTGTCATGTAGATGGGTTTTCTGGTGCCTGATCAGGTGGTGCCTTCGCCCAAAGCTTTTCTCACACTTGAGGCAGCTGTAGGGCCTCTCCCCAGTGTGTGTTTGCTGATGCCTGGCAAGGTGGGAGCCCCACACAAACTGTTTCCCGCACTGAGGGCACATATGGGGTTTTAAGAGAGAATCCATCTGCGTGCTACATAGAAGGCTCGAGAAACTGTCTTCCTGAAGAAAGGGTGGGCTTAGGTGCATTCCTCTGGAGCCCCTGGGCATGGACTCCCAGCTCTGATCCTGCCCTGGATTCCAGGGAACAGTATCTTCAGACACACTGGATAACATTCTGGGAGGTTCTGCCTCTAGCTCGGGAGTCTCACCCTTATGTTCACTTCCATCTCCTATAGGAAAGGAAGAATACAGCTTTTAAAAGGAGAGTCCTAAAGTGGTAACCCAGCATCCAAGTCCCAGGTAACGTTGTATGGTGCCAGACGCTAGCCCAGAGGGGGAACATGTGTGAAATCACAAGACAGTGAAATAGCTGCAGGGTTGTTCAAAAGCCTCGGCTTGATGGGCAAGGGAACCAAGTTCTCATCCTTACCTTTCTAAGTCTCCATTTCTTCCATAAAACAGGACACTTAGACAGCTCTCTCTCTCTCTCTCTCTCTCTCTCTCTCTCTCTCTCTCTCTCCTCCCTCTCCTCCCTCACTCTTTCTTCTCACTGTCTTCTCTCTCCCTCTCTCTTCCCCCATCTTTCTCAATAAGGCTAGAATCCTTCTCTTTCAGGATAACTATATCCACTTGGTACAGTGAGTGATACCTGCTATCATAATTATTTATCTGCCAACATTATTTATTTTTTTACTGTTCATCACCACCAGCCACCATCTTCACACCTCCACACAGAATGAGAGTGAAGGGATGAGCTGTAGCATCGCCAGCTAAGTGGCCAGCTGTCAGCATCATTAGATACACTGAGAAGACATCTCTATAGGGACACTTAGAAGACATCTCTATAGTGACACTTAGAAGACATCTCTATAGTGACACTTAGAAGACATCTCTATGATGACACTTAGAAGATGTCTCTATGATGACACTTAGAAGACGTCTCTATAGTGACACTTAGAAGACGTCTCTATAGTGACACTTAGAAGACGTCTCTATAGTGACACTTAGAAGACGTCTCTATAGTGACACTTAGAAGACGTCTCTATAGTGACACTTAGAAGACGTCTCTATAGTGACACTTAGAAGACGTCTCTATAGTGACACTTAGAAGACGTCTCTATAGTGACACTTAGAAGACGTCTCTATAGTGACACTTAGAAGACGTCTCTATGGTGACACTTACTTAGAAGACGTCTCTATGGTGACACTTACTTAGAAGACGTCTCTATGGTGACACTTACTTAGAAGACGTCTCTATGGTGACACTTACTTAGAAGACATCTCTATGGTGACACTTAGAAGACGTCTCTATAGTGACACTTAGAAGACATCTCTATGATGAGACTTAGAAGACATCTCTCTGGTGACACTTAGAAGACATCTCTATGATGAGACTTAGAAGACATCTTTATGATGACTTGGATGCTGTCCAACAGCATCAATAACGACTCTTATTGGGTGCCTGTTATGTGCTTTGTCACTCTTTCATTCTCAGGTGCTAACATATTTAACTGTAATAACTTAGATATGAGGTATCACAGGTATGGCCTACAATTCAAGCTCACACAGCCTTAGTTCAGAGTCTGTCTTCCATGCCTTCTGCACCCCAACCTTGCTTTTTTTGGGGGGGGAGAACTCTGAACTTTTTGGTTAGAGACACGGTAAAGATGACGCCGCAAGAGAGTGTGTCTAGGTCCTCACCTGTATACGTGACCTTCAGGATATCTCTCCCTTCTAAGTCCTGGTGGTCAGGGACCCATTGTTCTTCTCCTCCCTCTAGCTGAGAAAGCATGTCCAGTTTGGGGATCGGAAACCCTGCAAAAGAGAAAAGGAAACAGATGCAGGGTGGCTTAGCTCAGCAGCAATTCTGTATTAGTGGACAAACCCACTCCCTAGATTCCTCTTCGGGATGCCAGGACCAAAGAGTCAGACACAAGCATCCAGTCACTTCTGTTAAGTCCCTCTTTCTTTTCCTAGAAAACCACACACTTTCCCCCAGTGGACCAATTCTCTTCCACTCAAATCCTCCTAGGACATGTCCTTTCTGGTCACAACTCTACCTTAGACTCACTGTAAGCCCCACTTGCAGCACCCTGGCCTTTCCAGGAACTCAGGGTGCTGCTCCAGTTCCCAGGGATGAAGTGCCACTGTCTCTTTCTCTGCTCTCTAAGCCTCAAATTCCCATCCAAGATGAGCTTCAAGTTTTCACTCCATAATTTAGCATTATGTACAAAAAGAATCTTTGCTTCAACTCCTTGGGCTTAGCTCCAGTATTTTTTCTTTGGTGGAAGCCTACCTAGACAGAGACCCTGCCAAGGAAAGCACCCTGGGCAGGCACTATTCAACAGCCCCGAGGCAGAGGGGGGCTCCCATCCTCCCAGGGAACAGCCTTTTAGGAAGACGAAGGTTCTGCTTACTCAGTGAGACAACAATCCCACAGTTTTCCTGCATGACATATTCTCCATAAAAGTCTGTCTGAGAGGGATCCAGGCTCCGCCACTCCTCCTGAGAGAAGCACAAGGACACATCCTTGATGGTTACCAGGCCCTGAAACAAGACAGAGGGTCATCTGTCAGCAGCTGCTTTGATGGAAAATAAGATCTCACTATGAAGAACTGAGACAGTCCAGGAAGGAGGGTGAGAGAGGACCCAGAAAAAGAACTGCCAACAGGTCACTAGGCAAAGCCCATAGCTTTGGTAAAGAGAAAAGGAGTAAAGAAACAAGGCCAAGGAGTGAGTGAGGATAATGTCACTAGAGGAAGTTCCCGCGTGAGACTGTGAGAAGTCAGAGGCGTGACAAACACATCACTTCCTCTTTTAACTATAGGTGTCTACTCAGTCTCCTCTTACCTCCTCATCCTTTCTTGCAGACTGTACCACAGCCTCCTTCCTCCACTTGACCTTGCCTTTTCTGTCAACACAACATGATATGAACAAAACATACTTGCTTTCCTGATAGGCTGATGATATCTCTTCAGGTGCTATGGTACAATGGTTGAGCCCGAAATCTGGAGCCAAAGGACTGTTAGCTCTACCGCTTATTATCGGTATTATCCAAACACCTCCATCTCTCTCTGCCCCAATGTTCTCAAGTAAAATGGAACTTATCTCAACTTACTTAGTATACATAAAGAGTACGCATGATAGTGTTCTGCAAGTGTCACTACAACCAACGCCGCTGTCTTTCCAAGGCTATTCTCTAGACTTGTTCTCTTTCCAGTTCTTTGCACACTTCTTTCTTCTCTTCTCTTTCCCAAAAGCTCCACGATCTACACAACCCTGTCTACTTTACTCTCTTCCAAGCTTTCCTTGAACCCTCTTTTTTTTTTTACTTCTTCCAAGTTTTTTTCTTTCTTCTATTTTATTTATTTATTTATTTATTTATTTTGAGATAAGTTCTCACCATGGTATACTTCTTCCAAGATTTTTTTCTTTCTTCTATTTTATTTATTTATTTATTTATTTATTTATTTATTTATTTATTTTGAGATAAGTTCTCACCATGGTACATAGACTGGCCCAAAATTCTTTGGCTCAGGCAACACTTGTGCCTCAGCCTCCCTAGTAACTGGAATTACATATGAGCACTATCATGCCTGATTTCAGATTTTCTTCTCAAAAGAAGTCAATTAGTTATTCTGAACTCCTCACCCTCATCCCACAGATAACATAGCCATCCGTTAAAAAAACATTATGCATCCCTTTAGAAATAGAAACTATTCAGTTATAATCATACCATTAGTGTTCACGGGAACTAACAAGCCAATGGGATGATGCCAAAGCTATAAAAAAAGTCAAACTGCACGAACCTTGGGAGAGGACAAGGGGAGCAGAGCTCACCTGCGATCCGGCTGCAAGAAGTGCAGCTGCCATTTCCCAGTCTCCAGTGGTCCCCTCCTGGGGACCTGCAGGAACCCAGGGAGCAGACTGAGCTGATGAGGGGAGAGAGGAACCATTAGAGATGAACTACCCATCTTTCCCAGTATGCACTGGGAACCATTTATCTTCGTAATCTATTCTCACTGGTAAAATCTCAAATGCAGACACATAGATGTAGAGGCCCTCACTCAAAATGTTCTGTAAGGGTTTGTGACATTTAATTAGAATGGCTGTAGTTTGAATGTAGTTTGATACTGCTTGATTTTTTAAATTTATTTGTTTACTTTTTATTGATTTATTTATTTGGTTTTGGGAGGCAGAGTTTCTCTGTGGCTTTGGAGGCTGCCCTGGAACTAGCTCTTGTAGACCAGGCTGCCTCTGCCTCCCAAGTGCTGGGATTAAAGGCGTGCACCACCACCTCGATACTGCTTGATTCTTACAAAGTGAAGTACATATTGTTGGTCTTGTCCTACAATAGTAATGAGTCGCTAGCATTTCCTGTGCCTCCCACATCTAATACCATTAATTATGCACTTGCATATAGAAGGAATGACTATGTGAGAAACAGAAGGCCATTTACCAAGTTTGGAAAATGCAGGACCTCACTGTGTACTGGACAGCAGGGCCCAGGAAAAACAGGATTGACCTGGTATTGGGTGTGTTCTTCAGCCCATGGCCATTAGAGTTACTATTGTTGCTGGAGACAGGGCCATGCTATATAGCTCAAGCTGGCCCACAACTCATGTCAATCCTCCTACTTTAGCCCCCAAGTAATGAGATTACAAGAGCAACCGCACCCAGCCAGGCTAGGAGTTTTAATGTCACTTTTTGAGCAGAGACTAGAAGACTTCTAGTGTTTCCAAAATGCCCCTTGTGTTCTCACCCTTCTCCTGAAGGGCTAGTGGCTCTTCAAGGTCACAGTGAAGGTGCTCCAGTGGCCCTGGTGCTGTTCTCCATGGGCCCTCTTCCTGGTTTCCTCTTTCCATCTGGGACTCTGCTCCATCCAGCTGTACATTCGTTGGCCCCCATCCCACTCCCAGGGCTGCAGTCTGTTCAGAAAGCATGTCTGCAGCAAGCACAGACTGTGACCTGCAACACATCAACAGCAGCTACAGAAGGGGTGGCATGCCAAAGTTCATCTCCAAGAACAGTTCCCAAGGCTAAGGATGAAACCATAAGTGGAGTCCCAACCAAAGGCGAATTCACAGAGCATGGTGTGAGTGAAACTTTTCTGGAGGAACCAAGGAATTAATTGATGGGTGCTTCACAGTCAAGGTGATGTCATTTTGGAGACTTCATGCTATAAATAGAGCATCCCTGAGGACTGCAAGAACTTCACTTAAAAATAAAATAAGAACAATCCTGAAAACCCAGAAACCTATCCATTATATTTCTATCATTCAAAGTGCTGTTGATATGGGGGAAAACACAGGAAGGGATGTGTTCAACAAAGATGGATGCTTTCATACATAGGGAGTCTATGCCACAGATTACAATCTCATCAACAGATTTAGAAGTCCCCGCAAGGGGTGTGACCTGTCATGAGCACCTGTTCTCTCTTTCAGGCTGAACCAGATATCATCTCCCATAAGAAAATCCCAAGCAAAGGGACATATGCTCTGTTACTCTTAGTTAGGAAATAGGAACTGATAATAAACATAGCAGAAAGACCAGTAACTTGGAGAGCCACAAAGGTGAGGTTTAAGTACCCAACACAGCCTGAGACTTCAAAGTGCAGGTCAGTGAATAGCTGATGTTTAATTAGAGAAGGTAGAAAAGAACACGGCTTGGACAACAGATAGAAACCAGGGAAGCAGTGTTTTAGTAACACAGCCTTTGGGGGAATCAATAGCCCCATGGTCTGAAATACTAAAATACATTTGTTTGACAAGCACCTATCATTGTGCATTATATGTATAAAAAAAATGTACCCAACTTCAAGAATGGCTCAGGGGAGCCAGTATTTGTTCATTGCAAGAAATTCAAGTTAAGCAAAGGATAGGAAACACAGCCACCGGAAATGCTAAAAACAATGGACACAGTTTTTGCTTGTCAAGCAACACAAGGACAATCAGTCACACCACCTGTAAACATCTCTATGTAGCAAACAGAAGAAATGGGTTTTGGTCACAAGAAAGAGATTTAGATCATTTTCTTTAAGCAATCAGTCATACAGAGCATATGACTAAGTTTGCAATCTTGTTTGAACATTTTTAGAATGAGACAGGTCCCATTTGAGATTGACTGTAGGACAACTTTGTGCTTGGCAATCTATTTTTGTGATTCTTATTCAATATCCAAGTAGTGAGAGCCACCAAAAATACCCTAAGAAGGGGTCAGGATTCCGGTAGCTACTTTGGCTCACGTGATCATTCAATAACCCAGAAGACTGGGAAAAGCTACAACAGACCTCAGGTCACTTACTTTCTTGTCTGTTTTTCTTTGACAAAAGATTTTCTAAGCACAATGTACAGGAAGAACAAATTCCTTTTTCATCCTTAAAGTCCAAAGATGGCTTTGGGGCCTCGTAGATGCTTCCTGGACTGATACCCAGTTTAGATAGGTTCCTTTTCAGAGACAAAGTAAAGCAATAATAAGGAGAAACTTCAATTTTAGCTATCTCTGAATTCCAGCCCCTATGTTTTTTTCACTTTTAAATGCACGGGGCACCAACTGCCCTTCTTCACCTTAAGCCTTTCTTGTTCTCTGGCTGCCTGAGCAAGAACTCCAACAGGTTTCAAATCTGGCATAATACCTGGACACCTCTCTGAAACCCATTTTCCTATCATTTCCAGGGCAGAAAAGTTCTCCACGTCCACAGAAGCCTTTATGAAGAGCCCAGTGGGCCTGCTAGACAGGACAGAAAAACCTTTGGAAATGATGGCAAAACCCAAGCAAAGGTGTGGGTGGATACCTGTCATCTGCATTCTCTGAGGTGGTTGTGGCAGGGTCAGCACTTGAGCTGCAGCCCTAACCTGTTTTCTTTCCTTTCCTTTCCTAGTTCTGGAGCCTAGGTTCTTGGGCTTTCCTTTCTGTCGTTTGCTTATGTATCTGGGAGGTAGGGCACCCGCAGGAAGAAGTTTTTTTGGTTGTTGTTTTGTTTTTTTGTTTTTTGGGGGTGGGGGGTTGCAGCGAGTTCTGCTGGACAGAAATAGGGCTGTGGTATCAAAGAGTGGCCCAAG